AAAGGAGAAGCGGGGACAAGTGAGATATAAGAAATAGCATCTAATAAACATTTTAGTAATGATCTAACAATTTGTTCTGTTGGTCTCCAACTGTTCTTATTCCTCAGCCTTGGCTAATGAATGCTCCAGGAGTTATATAATGCACATTCTATTTGCTCCAGACAAATAGAGGTTTTCTAGCTGAGATCTGCAATCTTTGTTACTTTTATCAGCTTTCTAACAACTCAGAATTGTTACAAGCTTTACATGTGTCTATTTCCTGTGAATAAGCAGTCTTGAATAGAATAGAACAGAATAGAATAGAATAAAATAACAGAGTTGGAAGGGACCTTGGAGGTCTTCTAGTCTAACCCCCTGCCTAGGCAGGAATCCCTACATCACTTCAGTCAAATGGTTATCTAAAATCTTTTGAAAAACTTCCAGTGTTGGAGTATTCACAACTTCTGGAGGCAAGTTGTTCCACTGATTAACTGTTCTAACTGCCAGGAAATTTCTCCTTAGTTCTAAGTTGCCTCTTTGATTAGTTTCCACCCATTGCTTCTTATCCGGCCCTCAAGTTCTTTGGAGAATAGCTTGACTCCCTCTTCTTTGTGGCAACCCCTGAGATATTGGAAGACTGCTATCATGTCACACCCACTCCTTCTTTACATCAGACTAGACATACCCAGTTCCTGCAATCGTTCTTCATATATATAGCCTCCAGTCCCCTAATCATCTTTGTTGCTCTTCTCTGCACTCTTTCTAGAGTCTCAACATCCTTTTTACATTGTGCCAACCAAAACTGGATGCAGTGTGGCCTTACCAAGGCATTATAAAGTGATATTAACACTTCACTTGATCTTGATTCTGTCCCTCTGTTTATGCAGCCTAGAACTGTATTGGCATTATTGGTAGCTGGTGCTCTTGTCAGACAGACCTCACAATTACAGGCTTCCTGATTTACGTTCCAAGTGTGTGCCATGTTCTTGCTTTATTTTAGCAGGTAGTCAATCAAGACATCTTAGTCACTAGTGAAGAAATGATCTCTAAAGTGAGGTTCTAGCATAAGGGCTTATAGATTGGCAAAGTGACAAGGGAAGCAGCTCCCATATAAAAGCCCCTCCCCCCTTTTTTGTGCAAAAGATGGCTACCCTTTCTCCCAGAAGAAGGAAAACAACATTTTACCCCTCAATTTGGATAGTTAATATCAGTGGTGGGATTCAATTTTTTTTTAATACCAGTTCTGTAGGTGTGGCTTGGTGAGCACGGCAGGGGAAGCATAGTGCAAAATCTCCATTCCTTTCCCACTCCTGGGAGAAGGTTACTGAAAAATTCCATTCCCTCCACACCCAACTAATTTGCTTTCCAACTCCATTCTCCTGTACAGGGCAACAAAAGAAGACGCAGCCGATCAGCTGGGACTCGGGAGGCAGAGAATAGATGGGGGCAGGGCCAATCAGAGATGGTATTTGCCGGTTCTCTGAACTACTCAAAATTTCCGCTGAATACCACCTTTGGTTAATATTTATTTATTTATTTTGATTTGTCGATCACGTACAAGATAATAGATATAAGTAGTTTTGATGAGCCGTAGTCTCTCAAAATAACCCAAAACATACATTAAAGTCTGGTAATGCCTTCAACTTAGCTTCACTGTTTTATTAGGCACAGTTTAAAGTCACCAAAGTAAATAATGAGGCAAAAAGAAAACCAAAACAAACCGTATTGACGAGAAGGGAGGTAGAAGGCCAGATAAACCCTTTCCGGAGGTTCTTATCAATAAAAACCCACAACCCGGCCAACTCCGGTTCCAACAGGGAATATATCCAACCCACCAGCAATTTTGCATTGGGCAACAAGTCAATTGGACAGTCATACGCCTGATGCAGAGGCAACTGATCCACCTCCTTCTCCCCAAACACATCAGCAAAGTCCACCAACTCCACAGGTAGATCCAGGTCCACAGGTATAGTCACACTCCCTGCACAGGAGCGCAAGCAATGGTTGGTGCACTTCCTATCAAGGAACTGCACAGCTCCAGATGACCAGACAATCTGTGGATCATGGGCCTGTAACCACTCCAAACCCAGCACTACTGGAAAGTGAGGCACTGCGGTAACGTAGAATACAGTTTTCTCCACATGCTGCCCAATACAAAGGGGTTTGGTTGCAGCAACCACAGATCCTGAACGAAGGAGCTGACCATCAATCGTCTCTACCATTATTGGCGGGGACACCTGCTGCTGAGGAATGAACCACTGCTCTACAAAATGAGCATCCATGAAATTGGCTGACCCCTGAGTCAACCAAGGCTTGGATCTCCACCGCTTCCACACCAGGCACGAACACACTTGCTGTCAGCACAAGATGCTTCACCAATAACAATTGTGGTGGAGATGTCAAAGGTGGCGAGGATGGCAAGGTTGGTGAAGATGGCAGGCCTAAGGACTTTACACCCCAACCTACAGAGTCCCATAGGCCAAGCAATGCTCGTTTCCTGCCATCACAGGTGTTGCTGCTGTGGATGTCTTAACAGGACACTTGGCTGCAAAATGGCCTCAATTGCCACAATAGAGGCATAAACCATTACGATGACGTCTATCCTTTTCTACTTGAGTCAGGCGAGGGCAGCCAGCCTCCAACTTCATGGGTTCCTCCAAAGGCACTTCCACCAAGGACGCCGTCTTGCTGGAAACAGATACAGTCTCTGTCTGTCATTGCACCCGTTGCTGCTGAAGTCTGGCATTGATACGAAGGTACAGATGCATGAGCTCCTGAAGAGTGCAAGGGCATTCAGTGCGCGCCAACTCATCCACTGGTCTAATAGTGCTGCCTCATTCCATTGTACATCCTGAGCAACCACCTGAAAACTAGCAATATAATCCATGAGTGAGCCACGGCCCTGCTTCAACACTCTCAAACGTCTTTTTGCTATTTGGCTTCGAACAGGGTCCTCAGACATAGCTGAAACTGATGGCAAAACTCGGCATAATTGTCCAACACTTGGTTGGGCTGGGTCAACAGAGGTATCACCCAATGTCTGCAGAGCCTGACAACAAACTAATCAAAAACCCCACCTTATCCCAGTCAGTGGGAAAGTCCTCTGACCGAAGGCTCATGTAAAGCTGGCACTGCCCAAAAAATGCTGGAAATTGTGCCAGCGAACCATCAAATTTATCTGGCATTGCCACTGGGCCTTTTCGGCATGGCCGGGAATCTTGCATTTGTGCCACCTGTGCAATCAGAAGAGCCTCTTGCTGGCTTAACTGGGCAATGTCTGCTCTAAACTGATCCATGGTCACCCCACAAAAAGCAAAAATAAGTTGAAGGGGTGGCTGGAGTCAAAATGTGATGACCCGTAGTCTCTCAAAATAACCCAAAACCCAAAACATACATTAAAGTCCAGTAATGCTCAACTTAACTTCACTGTTTTATTAGGCACAGTTTAAAGTCACAAAAGTAAATAATGAGGCAAAAAGAAAACCAAAACAAACCGCATTGATGAGAGTTCTGAAGCAAGCCAAGATAATTAATCATACATTCCAGGAAGATAACTGAGGGAAGATAACTGAGGGAAGTCCATGGGAAGAACGCCAGCAAAGATAAACCTCTTTCAAAGAAAACATTAAACATTGACTCCAGCAATTCTGACTATATAGTTACAAACTTATATACATAGCTCCCAGCTGCAAGCCACGAGTTGGATCATGGTAATTTCCTCAGTAGACCTTACTTTTCCCTGATCTTCTCCTTGCGTTACTTAGGATGGATAAGGGATGGGCCTGGATCCTCCTCTGATTGCTCAGCCAACCCCTGCCCTTCCCCAGCCCCCTCCACCACCTCTGGAGCCACACTCCCACTTCCTGTTGGCTGTTCCTCCTCTTCCTCAAAGTCAGTCTCCACTAGGGGCATGACAATAGTTATGAACACATGAAATGGATACATGTAAGAAAAATAAAAGAAACAATAGGACAGGGATGGTAGGCACATTGGTGCGGTTATGCATGCCCCCTACAGACCTCTTAGGAAAGAGGTGAGGTCAATAGTAGACAGTCTAAGGTTAAAATTTTTGGGGTTTGGGGAAGAAACTACAGAGTCAGGTAGAGTAGTCCAGACATTGACCACTCTGCTGCTGAAGTCATATTTCCTGCAATCAAGTTTGGTGCGGTTAAGCTTGAGTTTGTATCTGTTGTGTACTCTTGTGTTGTTATGGTTGAAGTTGAATTATTCATTGACAGGTAAGTCATTGCAATGTATGATTTTATATACCATACTTAGATCAGACCAAAGACGGCATAATTCAAGGTTTCTAGGTCTAGAATTTCAAGTCTGGTGGTATTAGGTATTCTACAATGAGTAGAGGCCTTGATCTGATGAAACAGTGACCCTTAACACCTTCCTTTTCTTTTCAGATCAGTTATACTTTTGCTTCACATGCGCTAAGCGATAAAACTCAGTTCCCCTTTTTCTATCGAACAGTCCCTTCAGAAGGAACCCAGTACTCGGGGGTTGTGAAGCTCCTCCATCATTTCAGATGGATTTTAATTGGGCTCCTGGCTCCAGACAATGACGACGGAGAAACTTTCATGAGGACTTTAACAACCCTGCTCACAAGGAATGAAATTTGTGTGGTTTTGTCCCAAACCTTCTCTGTGATTGCCATCGGTACTACTATTAATTTAAAACAATTCTACAAATGGGCCCAAGTCAATGTCTTTGTTTATTTTGGAGAACAAGGTTCCTTCATACAAGGAATATTCATTATGCAGGAAATACTTAGCACTGTGAAAGCCTACACTTATGGTGGAGTCTGGATCACGACAGCTAGCTGGGATTTTATGCTCGATTTGAAATACAGTCCACGAGATATATACACTTCTGTTTATTTTTCCTTCTTCACCCACCAGAAAAAGTGGGTAAACCAGGATGATTTCCACTTATTTTATCCATTTATTAGAAAATTTTTAGAGATAACGTTTCATTGTTCATATTCAAAGCATCCCTTCTCCAAAAAAGGTAGGATGAGGTGCACTGAGAAAGAGAAGCTGAAGATCCGGATGTCCAAGGAGGCGAAGGAAAGAAACTTATTTCTAGACAACTACCAAATTTACCACTCTGTCTGGGCTGCAGCACAGGCATTAAATACTGCATACTCTTCCAGAAGTGAGAAGATGAGGAAGAAGGATAGAGACAGGATGGAAGTTCATAAATTGCAACCATGGCAGGTATTACCTTTTCCATTATAGGTCTCCATCCTCTACTTGAGGCTCAGTACTATAACTGCGTGGATTGTATAGCTAAGTGGAAACAATGCACCATGCTGTGATTTGAGTAAATGCAACACTTTTATTTATTTAATTTCTTTAATATTTTTATTTTTGTTGTCAAGCATGTTTTAGATAACACATAAAATTAGGAACATGATTATGAGTACATGAAATGGATACGAATAACAGGAGACATTAGGACAGGGATGGTAGGCACATTAGTGCTCTTATGCACACTCCTTACAGACCTCTTAGGAATGCGGTGAGGTCAACAGTAGACAGTCTAAGGTTAAAGTTTTGGGGGTTTGGGGAAGAGACCACACCAGGCATTGACAACTCTGTTGCTGAAGTCGTATTTCCTGCAATTGAATTTTCTGCAGTTTACCCTGAGTTTATATCTATTGTGTGCTCATGTGCTGTTGTGGTTGAAGCTGAAGTATGCATTGATGGGTAGGACCTTGTAGCAGATAATTTTGTGTACTATGCTTAGGTCAGACCGAAGCTGTCATAATTCTAAGTTGCCTAAGCACAAAATTTCAAGTCTGGTGGCATAAGGTATTCTGTTGCAACCAGAAGAGTGGAGAAGAGTGGAGGGCAGAGGTGGTATTCAGCAGGTTCTGATCAGTTCTGGAGAACCAGTAGTGGAAATTTTGAATAGTTCGAAGAACCGGTAGCAAAAATTTTGAGTAGTTTAGAACAGAGGTCGCCAACCTTTTGGACCTCAGGGACCACCAAACTCATAATTTTAGATCCCAGGGATCACTAACTGGTTCTGTGGGTATGGCCTAATTTGTGGGTGTGGCTTGGTGGTCATGTCACTGGCTGGGCATGGCTTGTTTTTAAATATAAATATTTATATAAATATTGAATTTTTTATAAAAAAGAGCAACTTTTACCCAAAACCAGGCAAAGCAGGCAGGCAGAATGAATTGCTCACAGAATCAAAGATTCATTCAGAGATCTATCTATCTGCCATTGGCTAGCTCAGTCTGTCACATAAAATTTGCTTGCAAACAAACTCACAAAATTAACACACCATGCATGTAAATATTGAATTTTTTTATTTAAAAAAAGAGCAACTTTTACCCAAAATCAGGCAAAGCAGGCAGACTGAGTTGCTCACAGAATCATTCAGTGATCTATCTATCTGCCATCAGCTAGCTCAGTCTCTCAAATTTGCTTGCCATGAGTCTGCACTGAATTTGCTTGCAAAAAGCAAACCTTCAGTCCTAAAGGGAGGTTCGGCTGTGCTGAGCCGAAGATCTAAAGACCAGCTAGAAAACAAGAAATCCAACCATTTCTTGCTTCCTAGCTTATCTAAATCTCCCAGTACAGCAGAACAGATGATGGTCAGAAAAAGGAAAAATAGCAATTTAGCAGGCAAGTTTACCAGGTAAGGAGTGAGGTTCCCGCGAACCATGTGAGTGATGCAGACGTGTTTCTGCACAGCCTGGATTAATTGTTTTGTGGGGTGCTCTGGGGGTGAGATTTCTCTGCGGCCCACCAAAATTTTCTCATGGTCCACCAGTTGGCGACTGCTGGTTTAGAGAACTGGCAAATGCCACCACTGACTGGCCCCGTGTTCCATCTATCCTTTGCCTCCCAAGCCCCAGCTAATTGGCTGGATCTTCTTTTGTTGCACTGCACAAGAGAATGGAGCTGGAAAGCAGGTTAGTGGGGTGGGGAGGGAATGGGGATTTGTGGTAACGTTCCCCCAGGAGTGAGGTAGGTATGGAGATTATACAGTATCCTTCCCCTGCCACGCCCACCAAGCCATGCTCACCAAACCATGGCACACCCACCAAGCCACACCCACAGAACTGGTAGTAAAAATTTTGGTGAATCCCACCACTGGTGGAGGACTCTTATGAAATATCTCTGGACTCTCCTAGGTACAAAACAATAATAGTTCAAGTGTTTATTTAAAAAATCTAAAATTAATGTGATTAAAATGATAACTACTTAACAACTGCAATATTATCTTCATCCCATTACACCAGTCCATCCCGCCCAGCTGGGGAGGAAAGGTATGTTAAAGACTCTGACTGGTGGGGTCTAGAAAGAGAGCCTTCTCTGCCATTTTCCCCAGAGTTGAAGCAGCCTCTGGTCTTCTGAAAAGGATGTCAAAATGGCTTCAACTTCAGGGTTGACAGAATATTTAAAACATGGGTCTGTTGATCTGTGTGGAGAGCTCAGAGAATTATGCAGCCATGGGGCTGGTTGATACCCTGAAAACCCTCCTTTTGCCTCTTAACTAATTTTAATAGCATTCACTCACTCTTGTCTCCTTTTAATTTTTAACTTTTATATATACTGTTTTATATTGTAATGTTCTATTGCATACCATCCAGAGTTCAACAATGAAGGTTGAACAGTGAATGGTTCAGATATGTGGAAAACAAAAGTAACTACGCTACAGAGCACTGTACAACAGAACAACTAGACACAAGGACAGTTTTTTTCTGAATGCCATCACTCTGCTAAACAAATAATTCTCTCAACACAGTCAAACTGTTTACTAAGTCTGCATTGCTTGTCAGCATTCCAGGGAACCTCTATTCCAGTCAGTAACTCAGAGACAAACATCATCTCAAAAGTACCTTTATTAGAATAGCACCTGGCACATCTGTGTAATTCCAAAACTAAAAATTTCCCAGCTTTCCACAATGTCCCAAACTACAAACCATCCTTTTTTCTCTCATCATCACATCACATGAACCAATCCCAAAATAAATTCCTTTTTGTTCCTGTGCCACACTTAATGACCTTGAACTAACAAGAGTTCTATTTTGTCTATGTAAAGCTACTCAATTAAAATCACCCCCCCACCTACTAAAGCAATATGTGGCAGCAATGAATCAGGATTCCAAAGCTGACAGGCATCCCCCCTTGAAAAGTTCATCTCCTGAAAGAAATAATAAACAAAACACAACCAGGGGTTAATGCAACGTCCTTAACCCTCTCTCCTCCCCTCCAAGAGGACCCTTTGGTTTGTCAGGGAATTCCTCATGAAATTGGTTGACTAATCTATCAGCATGTACATCCCAACTTTTAACCCAAGTTGCATCTGATACAGGGTAACCCTTCCACAATACCAAGTATTGTAATCTTCCTTGGTGTAATCTGGAATCGAGGATTTTCTTGATTTCATGTGTCTCACCCAGTATGATTAAATGTTTTGGGGGAGCTGTTGGTATTGGTAACAGATAACAGATAATTAGAGTTGGAAGGGACCTTGTAGGTCATCTAGTCCAACCCTCCACCCAAGTGGGAGACCCTACACCATTTCTGACAAATGGCAGTCCAATCTTTTCTTGAAAGTCTCAAGTGATGGTACTCCCACAACTTCCGAGGGTAAGGTGTTCCATTGGTTGATCGTTCTCACTGTCAGAAAGTGGTCTTATAGTTGACGCCACTGCTGGTTTCAATAAACTACTACGGAACACTGGGTGTATTTTTCCCAATCACCCGGGAAGACTTAATTGGACAGTGACCGGATTGATTAACTTTGATATCGGAAATGGACCTAAGAACTTAGCGCCCAACTTCTTACTAGGAAGTTTCAATCTGAGATATTTTGTTGACAAAAATACTTTTTCTCCTACTTTAAATGGTGGTTGGAGGGATCTATGTTTGTCCACCTACTTTTTGTATTCCTTAGCAGCTTCAGTTAAAGCTTTTTTTGTATCCTCCCAACCTTTTTTTAACGAGTTCATCCATTCTGTTACAGACATGGATGTGGGGGGTTCTTTAGGTAATTCTGTCATAGGGAATTCCATGCCAGTGTTGATTTGGAATAGAGTCAAACCTGTGCTGCTATGTACTGCATTATTATAAGCAACCTCTGCAAGTGGTAATAACTCTGCCCACTTTTCTTGTTGATAATTTACATAGCATCTAATATATTGTTCCACCATGGTGTTCTCCCTCTCTGATGCACCGTTGCATGCTGGATGGAATGCTGATGATAACCCTTGGGATGACCCAATAGATCTTAAAAACTCCCTCCAGAACTTAGCGATAAACTGTACCCCTCTGTCTGAGATTATTCTACGAGGTACTCTGTGTAGCCTATAAGTATCTTTCATGAACAGTTTTGCAAGCTTTTTTGCAGATGGTAGTCCTTTACAGGCTGTAAAATGGGCTTGCTTAGAGAATAAGCCAATAACAGTCCAAATGATAACAGGGTTAGGATTTTCTTCTTCCCCTCCTACTTCATCTGTTCTTCCTATTTTCCCTCTCCTGGTTTCTCCTCCCCCTGTTCCAGTTTCACTCCTTCCTCCAAAGCTCTCATTTTTACAACTCTTCCATGGGTAGAGTGTATTTAGATGAGAATGGCAAGAAGGCAGCTGATTTAAACATCATGAGCTCTGTGATATTCCTTAATAAGTCCACAAAGAGACAGAAATTTGGGAGTCTGAGAAGAGAAGAATCTCTAGACCACAAGCTTTTCATTGATCAAGATGGCATTGCCCTCCTCAGCCTACTGGACAAGGTGAGATGGAAAAGGCTTTAATTTCTCCAACTTTAGCAACTTTATTTTAATTGCAAAATCCAAAGGACCTCATCTCTCCATTACTGATATTATTCCTATACTGGTGATTTATCATCCCTTCATAAACATCACCATGTTATAAAAAAGATGTTGAGACTCTAGAAATAGTACAGAGAAGAGCAACCAGGATGATTAGGGGACTGGAGGCTAACACATACAATGAACGTTTGCAGGAACTGGGCTTGGCTAGTCTAGTAAAAAGAAGGACCAGGGGAGACAGGATAGCAGTCTTCCAATATTTGAGGGGCTGCCACAGAGAGGAAGGGGGTCAAGCTATTTTCTAAAGTGCCTGTAGGCCAGACAAGGAATAATGGATGGAAGCTGAACAAGGAGAGATTTAACCTGGAAATAGGGAGAAACTTTATGACAGAACAATCAACCCATGGAACAGCTGGCCCTTGGAAGTTGTGTGAGCGCCATCATTTGAGACTTTCAAGAAGAGATTGGACTGCCATTTGTCAGAAATGGTATAGGGTCTCCCACTTGGGCTGGGGGTTCGATTAGATGACCTACAAGGTCCCTTCAAACTCTGATTACATGTTATCAGCTATTATCTGTTATCTGTTATCACGTGACCATTCTTGACATCACACAAAGACTGTTACCTTAACTGTTAGATTGGCATGACAATGCAATGAAGTCTATAAAGGTCTACAAGAGGAATCCAGAATGACAAAAAGAATATGGAAGTTTCTCCCATTCATTTCGTGAATTATGGGGCTTGTGGAAGTTGTCAAAGAAAACTTAAATCAATATTATTTGTGGATTGTGGATAATGAGAGTACGGTGTGTTAGGGAGGTAACAGAAATACAAAGTAATCAAGGCTTGTTTTAATCAGGGCTAGGTGCAAATGGAGAAAGCTCCTTAGTATTAAAATATGCTGACATTTGCAAGGCACCATCAAATCACCTGGAGCTCACTCCAGAGCCATGGTGGTGCAGTGGTTAGAATGCAGTACTGCAGGCCACTTCTACTGACTGCTGGTGGCTTGCAATTTGGCAATTCAAATCTCACCAGTCTCAAGGTTGACTCAGCCTTCCATCCTTCTGAGGTGGATAAAATGAGGACCCAGATTGTTGGGGGAAGTATGCGGACTCTGTAAATTGGATCTATCACATTTCCTTGATTTCTCTTTCTTTTTTCTTGCTCAGCCTCTGCCTTCTTCCAAATGTGTGGAAAGCTGCCATCCAGGTTTTATCAAGGTGCCTTGGGAAGGGGAACCCCTTTGCTGCTATGATTGCCTTCCTTGTGGAGAAGGGACCGTCTCCATTTTGGAAGGTGGGTGATGCTGGAGAAAAAGGAAGGAGGAGTGTTTGTGTGTCTGTCTGAAAATTGGCATTTTGGGAAAGCTAGCAGTATCTACATGTTCACTCAGTTTTCACCAGAATAATGAAAGTGGTGCTACAACACCAAGCCACAAGCTTTCTCCCTCTGGGCCATGTCTTGGTGTGTGCCATGTGTGTGCACTTAGAAAAAGGCTGAGATTTGCATCAAAATTGACACTCTACTTTCATCAATCTGATCCTATGGACACCAGAGCCAAGGCCATTATTGACATTATCCCAGCAGCCACCAAAAGGAGACTAGGATGCTGATTTTTATTGAAAAAAACTCACTGATCCACTACCTGGGAAAAATGTGTAGCAAATCAGTCATACACTGATTCATTTCATTCATTCATACCTTTTCACTTGGGCCTATAATTCCTACAAAAGAAGTTTAAGTTACAGAAATAGGCAGCTCTGTGGTGACGATGAGGAGGTTTTGGGTGGGCCTGGGCCAGCTTTGGAGCCTTTGAAAGACTCTGATTAGGAAGCAGCATCACAGACAGAGACAGAGGCAGGGTCTTCAGCCCTTCCCTCAGGTGGAGAGACAGCTGTCTTCAGGGTCTGAGTTGAGTGAGTGGGAGGAACAAATGGGGCCCATCCCAGATGCATGTTTACATAGGGAGGAAAGGCGAGGAGAGCAAAGGAAATCAATAAGCTGACTCTCAGGGAGAGGCAGATGCAGATGATAGCCAGCACCTCTCTGGCTGGGAAATAAATAGTAGGGGTTTGGGAGTGACCAGTTGTCACAGACATCTGTTTGTTTCTAGTATATAGCAAGCGATTCAGATTTCTTGGATAAACTCAAGTTTGTTGGGACTACTTACGTTTGATCTTTTGTTTATCCCTGTGAACAATATACTTATATAAAAAGGGGTTTTACTTGTGAGTAATCATCTTATCACTACTTGTGAAGGCTGGGTCAGAACAGGCTCCTAGATATATTTAATTTGGCAACCCAGTTGCCTTTGAGTTTGTTAGGGTGGGGATTCCCATACTATTTTGAAAACTGTTGGTGATGGGGGGGGAATGGTCCTCCTTTCCCTAAATTCTTCCCATGCTTCCTCATTTTTATAAGACCTCCACCTCAAACATTTGTGAAGGAGCTTTTACCTCAAACAGGGAATTCGACCAAATGGAAAAAGAAAAACCTCTACCAGAGATGTTATACTTTTTTATTTTCAGATGCAAAAAAATGCCTGACCTGTCCAGAAGATCAATATCCAAACATGGCCAAAGTTCAATGTATCCCTAAAAGGATAACTTTCATGTCCTACCAAGAATCTTTGGGGATCATTCTAGTCTTTTTTATCTTACATTTCTCCATCACTACTGCTCTGGTGTTAGGAATCTTCATTAAACATCGAGAAACTCCCATTGTCAAAGCTAACAACCGGGATCTCTCCTACATCCTCCTGGTCTCCCTCCTGCTTTCCTTTCTGACTTCCTTTCTCTTCATTGGTCAGCCAAGAACACCCACCTGCCTTCTCCGTCAAACAACCTTCAGCATCGTTTTCTCACTTGCTGTCTCTTCTGTCTTGGCCAAAACCATCACAGTGGTGCTGGCCTTCTTGGCCACAAAGCCAGGAAACACCATGATGAAATGGCTGGGAAAAGCTTTGACCAACTCCATTGTTATTTCTGGTTCTAGTGTCCAGATTGCCATTTCTGCCATTTGGTTGGTTATCTCTCCCCCTTTTCCTGATTCTGACATGTATTCCCAGCCTGGAGAGATTGTCCTGCAATGCAATGAAGGGTCTGTTGCCATGTTTTATGGAGCCCTGGGCTATATGGGCTTCTTGGCTGTTGTCTGCTTCGCAGTGGCTTTCCTGGCCAGAAACCTACCTGGGGCTTTCAATGAAGCCAAGCTGATCACTTTCAGCATGCTGGTCTTCTGCAGCATCTGGATCTCCTTCCTACCCACCTATTTGTGCACCAAAGGGAAATACATGGTGGCTGTTCAGGTCTTCTCCATCCTGGCCTCCAGTGCTGGGCTGCTGGGCTGCATCTTCATCCCCAAGTGCTATATTATTATCCTCAGGCCAGATCTCAACACAAAGGAGCAGCTTATGTTGAAAGTAAAGTAAGAATGTAGGGATTGCCTTTTTTGGGGGTATTTTAAGGTAACAATTTTGGATTCCTCATGACAAAACAATTTTGCCAGAAAAGGCATATCAAGATTTGGTTAATGTAATTTTACAATAGAATGAGTTCTTCTAATGATGCTTCTTATCTGGGCTACATTGAAGGGCTAGAACCATTCCCCAACATTTCTGGGTTGATGGCCCTGAACAGGAGGGAAAGGCGGGTTGGAGAGGGAATGGTTTTGTGTGAGGGGCAGACGTGTGCAGCCCAGAGGTGATATTCAGCAGGTTCTGACCAGTTCTGGAGAACCAGTAGTGGAAATTCTGAGTAGTTCAGAGAACTGGCAAATACCACCTCTGACTGAAGATTTTACGGTATCCTTCCCCTGCCACGTCCACCAAGCCTCGCCCACAGAACTGGTAGTAAACAAAAATTGAATCCCACCAGTGGTGCACCCACACTCACATAGCTCATTTGTGTGAGCAGCAGATATGGGGCTGCGAAGAGGGCTGCAGTTGCCCACTGCTTGCATGAATCAGGCTGCACACGCATCCATCCATGTACAACAACCAGTGCTGGTTAATTACTTTTTAGCACTGAGATCATAACCTTGTGGTATCCACTTTGCAATTTAATATCTCCTTAGAAACACTATGAGGAATCATCAGAAATTGGGGAATATAACAAAATGGCAGAGTTGGAAAGGGACCTTGATTCCAAAGGAAAAAAAATCAGATGTTAGCTGTGGAATACTTGAAACCATTTGATGGAGATACACAATGGAGAAAGCTCAGGTTTCTTCCACATACTTTCAGGACAGAAACAGATTCAAGTACAACCAGTCACAACTTTAATGTGGAGAGTCAGATGTTTAAAATAATAGCAATAAAATATCTTTGCTATTATTTTGTACTACTTATCAGAGGTGGTACTCAACAGGTTCTGATCAGTTCTAGAGAACTGGTAGCAGAAATTTTGAGTAGTTCAGAGAACTAGAAAGTACCACCTCTGACTGGTCCCGCCCTCAATCTCTGCCTCCCAAGTCCCAGCAGATTGGCTGGGTCTTCTTTTATTGCCCTGCACAGGAGAGCGGAGATGGAAAGCAGGTTAGTGGGGTGAGGAGGGAATGGGATTTTGCAGTAACCTTCCCCTGCCATGCCCATCAAGCCACACCCATCAAGCCATGTCACTCCCACAGAACTGGTAGTAAATTTTTTTGAATCCCATCACTACAGTGTGCATAAGAATATTTTTTTTCTGGTATTAAATGTAAGAAATGAAGACAAAATGATATTCTTTGTGTGAACTTTGTACTTTGCTAGTAGAAACCACTAAGAGAACCTCAGCAAAGAGGACATCAATTCTTTAAATTTTTAATTGTGTGTTTGTGTGTGTGTGTGTGTGTGTGTGTGTGTGTGTGTGTGTGTGCGTATTTATTATGAGCCATGGTGGTACAGTATCTAGAGTGCAGTACTGCAGGCTACTTCTGCTGACTGCCAGCTGCCTGCAATTTGGTAGTTACAATCTCACCAGACTCAAGGCTGACTCAGCCTTCCATCCTTCCAAGGTGGGTAAAATGAGGACCCAAATTGTTGGGGGCAATATACTGACTCTGTAAACTGCTTAGAGAGGGCTGTAAAGCACTGTAATGTAGTATATAAGTTTAAGTGATTGATATACAGTAAAAACAGATTTCAAAAACACCTAAACTAAAAACAAACAAACAAACAAGAAACCAAAAAATAAAGGTGAGGAAAAAAGAAAAAAGTGACCATATACTGGATATAATTGTGCTGTCCCACTCACCCACATGTCTGTGTTGGTTTAGAGAGAGTTTTATTTTGTCTCCCCCACCCCCAGCAATTCTGCTTTAGGTTTTCAGCTCTCTCACAGCTGCTAGATTAGAACAGTAATTTGCTTGTGACCAAGTAGATAACAAGGAAAAGATCATATGGCCAAACCAAATCAATCTTGGGAATAAAGGCATCATTTTTTTTTTTGCCACAAAGGGTTACGAACATCTTGGATAAACTGGACTAATCTCCCAGCCCAGATATCCTAAAAAGCTAGGCGAGGTAAATACCTGAGGACATCAAGAGAGTACACTTGTTCCATTTCATGGGGAAAACAGATGTCAGGATTCCAGCAATCGCCGTAATTAAATTATGATTCTCGAGCCAAACTTCAAAAACTTCAAAGGATTTATTAGAAGCGACATACTGGCACTGCCCTGTATGAAGCCAACTCTGGCATACATAATTTACAACCACCTATGACCCTGTTCCCCCCTCCCCCTGGGTGTCTCCTAAACCAGATTCTCCAATTGAGCATGTTCACAGGGTGTCATCATTCACGTTCTCTAATTAAATATATTTGCAGGCAAAAGCTCTGGTATTTTAGTTACAATCTTTTAAAGATAAAAGTTGGAATTTATTTTCACTTTCAAACTGCTGCACTGCTCTTCCAGATTTCCTTCCTCTCTCCCCCTTTTTTATGGCAACTACTAAAACAGGCATAGGAATGTTTTATGAATTGACAACAGATTGAATATCAGATAATGCAGCTGCTGATACCCTAGTCACTACCAAAGACTCTGTCCAGATAGAGTTCAGATTGAAGTGAATCTATGTGATTCAGCAAAATATTTGAATAACTAGACATTACACGTAAATTAAAAAAACTGTAGATCACCTCTTATCCAGGAGAAAACTCGCCACCTGGAACAAGACCACCAGATAATAACTGCCCAATGAAACAAGGGAGGAGATATAAGAAGGTGTTACTTCTCTTCTTGGCATCTATGGGCCTGAATCAGGGGTGGGCTTCATAAAATTTAGCAACCTGTTCTCTTCCTGGTTGCTGGGTGGGAGTAGCCATGGTGGGCATTGCCTAGTCAGCCTCCTGCACCATGGCGGCTTTCCTCAAGCCTCCAGGGGGGCAAAAACACCCTCCCCAGGCTCTGGAGGCCCTCTGGAGGCCAGAACGAGGCCTGTTTCCAGCCTAAAAACCCGGGGGGGCGCCCCGTTTCCCCCCCTCCCAGAGCCCCCAGGGGGCCCCTGCATTTGTGGGGGATCAAAAACGGGGTGGGGGGGGGGTCGGGGGGGGGGGGGGGGGGGGGGGGGGGGGCCAGCCATTGGAACTACCGGTTCGGCGAACCAGATGTACAATTAATATAGTAGGAAAATGGGGAAAGGAAAAAGGAGAAGAGGGAAGGGGGGGGAGGGAAAAAAAGCAAACAAATAGTAATGTCCAACTCTTTTCAGCGTAGAGTAGAGTAGAGTAGAGTAGAGTAGAGTAGAGTAGAGCAGACTAGAATAGGATAGGATAGGATAGGATAGAATAGAATAGAATAAAACAGAACAGAACAGAACAGAATAGAATAGAATAGAATAGAATAGAATAGAATAGAATAGAATAGAATAGAATAGAATTCTTTATTGGCTAAGTGTGATTGGACACACAAGGAATTTGTCTTGGTGCAAATGCTCTCAGTATACATAAAATAAAAGATACATTCATCATGATTCAAGAATAAAGGTATCACAAAAATGCAGCCTCAACTTTCCTGTGCATTTAATATATACTAGCCATTTCTATACTACTAATTTATCTAATCCATAAATCCCAAAATCTGAATTTTATTTCCCCCTCAAATGAAGGTAAATATCCATGTCCCAGGATAATGTTGTAGGATCCAAACTGAGTCAGTCACTGGGACCAAAGGTTTAGTCTTCTGAGCTTTTGGACTTGTGTTGGAGCCCATCTTCAGGGAACTTGGGTGAGGGGTTGGACTAGATGACCTACAAGGTCCCTTCCAACTCTGATTATCTGTATCTAACTTCTCTCAAGCAGAATATGTGTTATTCTTGGAAGAGTCCTGGTTGCACCAAACACCTTCCATTTGAGAATTATGGAGAATACTAAGCTCTTAGGAACCTTCAGTGCAGCAGAAATTTTTATTATAGCCTTTCCCATAACTGCCTTGCAATGATCCTGTTTCTGAGCTCTGCAGGCAGTTTCTTTGACTTCATGACTTTTGCTCTGCTACAGTATGCATTGTCAACTGTAAGGCCTTCTATAAAGAGGTATTGTGATGACTCCATCTTATGGCCATTTGCAGAACCACACCCAATTGCAGCTTTTTCATTCTCTTAAAGACATAGTACTAAAATATCCATCCTGGTTTATATATTTCCAACCCAAATAGCTGTTAGGTGACTCATATTCCTAACAGAAATATAACAAAAACCAAAACATAAATAAAAGAGCTTTAATGCCTTCAACTTGGCTTTACTGTTTAATTGTTCACAGTGGAAGAGTAAACTATTTTCAAAATAACATTTCAAAGGCAAGAAACACAGTTCAAATTCAAAGAGCCAATAACAAAGCAAAAACCAAAACCAAACTGCACTGAATAAAGTTCCATGACAGACTAAGATAGATAATTGCCAACTTCAGGAAGATAACCAGGTGCAGTCTATTGGAAGCATGCCAACCAAGATAAACCTTCTTTAGGAATAAAACACTAATTTGTCTCCAGTGTCTGTTAGCATCCAAACTCTCACACCTACAACACATGAAGAGGATCATGGCCCTCTCCTCCCAAGTAGACTATGCTTTACCCTGATCCTCTCTTCCCTGCGTGCCCTAGGATGGATAGGGGATTGGCATGGGTTCTCCTCTGACTGCTCAGCCAGCCTCTGCCCTTCCCTAGTCTCCTCCACCACCTCTGGACCCACACTTCCACTCCTTATTTCCTGTTTGCTGTTCCTCCTCTTCCTCAGAGTTAGTCTCCACCAGGGGCATGACAGGTATATCATGCCCATATTAAGTCCGATCAATTTAATTTAACAGATAACAAATAATCAGAGTTGGAAGAGATCTTGTAGGTCATCTAGTTCAACCCCCCCGGCCAAGTGGGAGACCCTACATCATTTCTGACAGATGGCAGTCCAATCTCTTCTTGAAAGTCTCAAGTGATGGTGCTCCCACAACTTCCAAG